TGCTGCCTGGACAAGGCTTGGGTGGTTCTGGCTAGTCAACTGGTAGGCATGTTGCTTCTTGCTGCTAAACTGTGTGGTTGTTTCAGGGTAAACATCAACGGTTACCCATCTAGACCCGTTTTCTTTTTGGGGAGCCGTTGTTGGTGATCCCTAAGCAATGGTCCTTGGCTGCATACTCTGGGTGTGAAGTAACTGAGGTGTGTTGAAAGTGCATTAGAGAAAGAAAATCTCTGGTTTTTTTCAATATTTTGTTGCGTGTTTTCAAATCTGACTATGGGTTTCCATACATGACTGGCTGATCAATTCGAAAACTAACAACTCCAGAATAGCGGCTGTATCTATTCTTGATTAATATGGCAAATTGGTGACATTGTGTAACCTGTCATTTTTGGACATGAATTAGTGAGATTCTTTATGTAACTTTCTTTCTTATTTACTTTGCTTCATTCCAGCTCTGTGTGACATGCACCCGATGCGAGCCTTATTCCTTATTCCAAGAAATGCCCCTCCGAGGTTGAAGTCTAAAAAGTGGTAAGTGATTCTAAGATTGTTTGCATGAGCCTTATGGATGTGCTCATTGATTTGAACGTCCAATACTGATCTGCCTTCAATGGAGCTTGCCAAGTAGATTAAGAAGGATGACGTCAATGTAGGACAAAATGTGAAGTCAGTCAATTCCTTGCTGTTGGCTGAATGTAAAAACTAGCAGCAGGAGTAGGCAATTTTCCCCTTCGAACCTGTCCTGTCATTTAATATGATTGTGGCTAATCCTTTCTTGGCCTCAACTCCACTTTGTCCACTGTCCATAACCCTTTAAACCCATTACTAATTGGAAATCTATCTCCTCCTCAAATTTATTCACTGTCTTGGCTGATACACATTGGGCTTTCCAGAGCCTGTAATTCATAGGTGGGCTGGAACTGGAGAACAGAAAAGTGAGGGAAATGAAAATGCACCACAGATAAAACCAAGCCACTAGAATGAGGGAGGGGAAAATTGGATAAAGAATTAAGGAGCTGAAAGAGAGAAGGGAGATGCAAAACTTGACAATAATCATATGAGGGCTGTATGCTTCAAAAAGTAAAATTGACCAACAAAGACCACTATAGGCACTCTGGATGACACTGCCCCAGAGAGAGGCCACTTGCAGTCTAGCCTAGGATTGTGAGTTAGCTCATTGACTGACACAGAGTGTCCTCTGTGCATGTGCTCTCAAATGGCTAAACCAGAAAAGAATTAGTGGAAACCAATGATCCGTATGTGGTGAAGGATGATCCAGAGAGAGTGTTTAGATGATTACAATTTGCAGACTGAACAGAACCCTTAGCTGTGGTGAGAGAATGTGGAACGTGTCCTAGGAGGCGAATATATTGTATTTAAGGGGAAGCTAGACAGACGCATAAGGATTAAAGGGATTGAAGCATATATAACAGTTAAATGGAGGAGTATGAACTGCAACCATCAATCAGCCATATTTAGGTTTGAGTTTTATCATGAAGTTTGTAAATATGTTTGGCAATTTGGTGCATCTGTGGTTTGGGTTGGAGGACAGTAGTTTTCAATATAGTGTAGAAACAAGACAGGCCTCCACTGGTATCAGTAGTTTGCACTGCTGCCTCACAGTGTCAGGGACCTGGGTTCAATTCCAGCCTTGGGGGATTGTGGAGTTTGCATGTTCTCACCATGTTTGCAAGGGTTTCTGCCAGCTCCTCTGGCTTCCACAGTCCAAAGGTGTGCAGGTTAGATGGATTGTCCATTGTGTCCTGGATATGCAGGTTAGGTGAGTTACCTGTGGTAAATGTAGGATGGTCTTCAGAGGGTCACTGTGACTCGATGGGCTGAATGGCCTCTTTCTGCACTGTAGGGTTATTATGAATCTAACTGATAACGTGACTGTCAAATTGGATGAGTTTTGGGACCAGAAATATGGCTCTGTCAACCTGTGCGTTGTGATTTGAATTCGAGAGGGGTCAAATTGGCAAGGATAACAATATATTGAGTGAAAGAAGTTATTCATCATAGTGCATTAGATTTTTAAATTATTGAATATTATCACTTTGATTCAAGGAATGTCGTTTCGGGAAATCTATGCACCTATTTGATCCCCAAGGAATGCAATAGAAATGGTTTATACTGAGTTGAAATTTTGAAATTGCCATGTATTATTTGGTCTTCTTATTTTTGGGTTATTCTGAGCATGGGAAAATGTGACTGTTTGTACTCTCGGCTTCCATCACTGGAACAGCAGCAAAAGGAAGCTGGAGTGTCTGAAGTTGAACAGAACGTTTTTGCATCCAGTCAAGGTCTTAGCTTGAGGGCACCTTTAGTAGGGAAACACCAGTGAAGAAGAAGAATGTTGAGGTTTATTTGTGCATTAAAGTTTGAAGGTTGGGGACTTTCTTGGGATCAATTTTAATTTTATGTGGCCGAAGGCATTGTTAAAATTCCAATTTTCTAGGTTTAGATTTTCTACTGAAATTTGTAAATACATTTGGTGGTTGAGAAGGGAGCATGATCCAAATGTACGTTATAAGGTACACATTGAAGTAATTGTTAGTTGTGCATTTTCTTATCTGGTTTATTAAAGATCTTCATTCATCCCCAATGCAATTTCTGAACAGACTTGGTGACCTTTTCCTTCTAATTGCAAGGAAACAAACAAGATGTGTACGAAAAATGAATTTCTGACTGCAACCAATGTGTGATGCCAAACAAAAGTTAGGGGTATGCAATGTTGCTGGAGGTGTGTCTGATTTGTATGCAGTGATGACACCATGTGTTGTAAATTGTCCTAGTTCCCCAAGCTGATCTTGTCTGAGTACTGTGGAGTGTAGTAAGCATTGCTTTGCACATTGTTGGCTGTTGTTGGAGAGCCTGACTGTGGGGGAGGAGTGTGATGCAAATACAAAGCGAGTCTGTCAGTATGGGTGGGAGGTGATTTCGGCCAAATGCTCCAGCAGGAGGATACTGGGTGGTGACTTCCCACGCGGTAAATTTATGATCTTGGTGTCAGATGTGTAAGTTCGTATCGCCTGTGTCAGTGTTGCTCATGGCTTTCCTCTTTGAGCTGGTGGGAAAAGATGGTTTCTTAAAAGAATTAAGGCAGACTTGTGGGAATGCTCTTACCAGAATTCTCATGGGCTGACTGGAGATCTAGCCCTGCGTCAACTGAAAATTTAACATGTTTGTTCAAATTAGGTCCTGTACGTATTTGGCTTCCACATCTAAAATCTAACCTTGCAGGTAGTCTGCATTTATTCACAGCTCTTTGCTCTGTTATGCCAAAAGATTTATGGGCACCTCCTTGGCAGTGCAGTTTTGTAACTGGACTGGGAGAGGATTTCTACTGTCCCGGAATAGGTTTTTGAGCAAGATCCCACACGTCTTCCATGTTCCCCTTGACTGACATATACTGCAATTGAAACTAGTTGCATTTGGTGCAGGTTGCAGTTGAGGATAAACCTTCATGCCCTCCATCTGCAAGGCTGCAGGCTGCCTGTGAAGGAAGCCCCATATGGATTTGTAGAAATTGGAAAAGCAGTCTGTCTGTACCATGGGTGTGATTTTTAAAACATTAAATTCTGCTTTAACCATTTCTTTGGTAGGTCAAGGAGGTTTATAGAGTTTATTGAAAATTGTCTGATCAAAAATTACACTCAGAGACCATCTACAGATCAGCTGTTGAAGCACAGCTTCATTCGAGACCAGCCAACCGAGAGGCAGGTTCGCATCCAGCTAAAAGACCATATTGATCGGACCCGGAAGAAGCGTGGTGAAAAAGGTGAGGCATAAGTTTATAACTTAGAAGCTGCTAGTATCCATTTCACCACCTGCAGTGCTAATAAACCTGTGATCTTTGAGTATAATGTCAGCAGTGTAGTAACAGGCTATCTCTATTATACAGAGGAGACGGAGTATGAATATAGTGGCAGTGAGGAAGAGGAGGACAATGTTGGTGAAGAAGGAGAACCCAGGTATGATTTTCAAAAAAAAACAGCTGCATCGAATGTGTTTTACTAAGAGTACTGTAAGGCTTATTGTCCCTGTTTTCCTGTTTTACTGCAACAGTGTCCCCACTACACAAATTTAATTTTGCTGTGGAGGGGAATTGAATTTTATGCTGTTTAATGGTGGTGGTGGGGGTGGGGGGGGCGGCGCGATATTGACGCCAAGGATCGGAACATTGCCTGTGCCCAGTGTCTGCTCATGTTAATACAGGGGAATGGACATTCAACCCCTGCCAGGCTCCACTGGTTCCCTTGTACTCCACATCTGAGAGCCAGGTCATTTGCAGTGATGCTTTCTATAAAATGATGGAGGGGGGCTGGGAGTTTCCCCTATTGATGAATTGTCCTTTAAGTAGTAGGAAATATGTACACGAGACTTCAATGTTAAGGCTGTGGTAAAATGGATAAGATCTGGTTTTGTTGATTCTTGAGTAATAAAGCAACTACAGTTGTTCAGGACACAAATATGCAAAATTGTAGAACTGTGCAGCATCTGTCATGATTTTTTTTGAGTAGAGATCTTTTAAAAGTCTCTCTCCAAGACTATTATCTTCACTCCGACCATCAGTTTACTTATGGTAAGAATGACTTTAAGGTGGGGAGTTGGGGACATCTTTAAATTCATGGGGTTATGAAAATACGAGAAATGGAAACAGCAGTAAATCATTCATCCATCAAGCCTGGTCTGCCATGCACTACAATCTAGACTAATATTGGGCTTCACTTTCCCACCTGTTTCCCATATCCTTTGAGGACACACCAGTATCTCTATCCTGCTCTAAATATATTCAACCAAAACAACATCCAGAAACTGTTTAGGGTACAGCACTCCAAAGATTCACTACTTTTCACTTAAAGTTTTCTGCATTTCAGTCTGAAATGATTTACATCTGAGACTGTGGCCTTGTGCATTAGATTATCCAGCGAGGTTAAACAGCCTCTGTGTCAACCCTTTCAAGCCCCTTCAAAATCTTGAATATTTCAATGAGGTGACCTCTCATTCCACTAAACTCCAGGGAATACCAACACAGTTTACTCAGCCTCTCAATGTAGGAAAACCTCTTCATCCTAGGGGCCAATGTAATGAACCATCCTTGTCCCACCTTCAATGCACATGTATCTTTCCTTAAATCTGGAGACCAAAACTGCACGTGGTATCGTCTCAGCAAGGTTTGAGTGATTGTAGCAAGAATTCTTCATTCCTGTACCCTGATTCCTAACACACCATTAGCCTTTCTAATCATTTGCTGTAACTGTACATCAACTTTCTGCCTTCCTGGAATGAATTGTTTTGGGTTTGTTCATGGATGTGGGTGTCACTGGCTAGGCCACCTCTAATTGCCTTCGTAGAAGTGTTGGTGAGCAGTTGCTGCAGCCTGTACCAACATGTGCACTCGTTTCCATCTACTCCTGCATGCTTTTAAGTATTGTGTCCCTATTTTACATTTTGTCCATGTTCTTCTGACAGAAATTCTTCATCCTTGTCACTTGCCTGCATGGTGTTTCATCTGCCACTTGTCTACTGACCCTACCAAATTTTCTCTGTCTTTGAGTTCTATACTGTCATAGTCATGTGGCACAGAAACAGATCCTCTGTTCAACTCTGACTGATGCGCTTCCAGGTTTTCTATCATCTGCAAGCTGTGCACCAAGATCTAGATCATTAATCATAGAATCATAGAGTATAGAAAAGTCCCTTCAGGCCATTAGAGTACTGGAAAAGCTAGGCACTCAATACTGACCCTTGAGGACCTCTATACAAACCATCCTGCAGCCTGAAAGATCTAATCTTATAACCACTGTCCCTTTTATTTCATGAGCTAAACTTTTCTCTCAAGTCTGTAGACTAACACCGTTCAAAGGCCTTTTGAAACTCCATGTACATCACATCAACAGCATTACCCTCATTGACTTTTTCTTGTTACTGTTATTACTTCAAAAAATCTCGAGCAAGTTAGTCAAAAGTGAGTTCTGTTTTAAAAAAGTCAATGCTGGCTCTTAGTGATCAACTTTTTCCATGTGACTACTAATTCTAACCTGAATAATTAATTGTTTCTAGAACCTTCTCCACCGCTGAAGTTAAACTGACTGGTCTGTATTTGCTACCATTATTAAACAACAATAGAATGTTTCTAAGTCTCCAGTCCTCTAACGCTTATCCTGAGTCGAGGAAGGACTGAAAGTTTATGACCAATTTCCCCTGAAATTTCTACTCTTTGTTTCTTAAATATCTTTGAATGCAATTCATTCAGTCCCAGCCCTTCGTCAACTTCAGATGCCAGCAGTTCATCCAGTATTTCCTCCTTATCAATTTGGAACCCTTATTGTCATACCATTTTCTGTCGCCACATTCTGGGTAGAATCGACCTCCTTGGGAAAGGCAGATGTTTTAATATTAATATGCCTTTCTAAGTGCATTGTCAAGCCTTCAAAATCAATTCCAGTACTTTCCCAATAACTATTAGTTACGCCAACTGGCCTGTAGTGTCCAGTTCTCTCTTTCCCTTTTTTTAACCCTGACTTACAGTGTTACATTTGATAACTTTTGACAACACAAACTAGGAAAGTAAGCTGTGAAGAGGACAGAAGAAGGCGACAAAACTATATTGATAGGTTCAGTGAGTGGACAGAACTGTGGCAAATAGAACGTAATGTGGGAAATGTGTCCATTTTGGCATGAAGAATGATAAAAGTTACCTAAGTGAAGAGAGATTGCAGCACTATCAGATGCGGAGGCTCTCGGTGTCCTAATGCATCAATTCCAAATTGTTAGTATGCAGCTAAAGCAAGCAATTAGGAAAGCTAATAGAACTTTGAAATGAATACAAAAACAGGGAGGTTATGCGTCAGTTGTACAGGGCATTGCGAAATACTGTAGTGCTGTGCATATAATTGGTCACTTTATTTAAAGAAAGGTGTAAATGCATTGAGGAAGTTCATAGAACGTTTACTAAACAACTAACTGGAATGGGTGGGCTGCCTGCTATGGAAGTGTTGGACAGGCTGGGCTTGTACCCAGTTATTTTTAGAAGAGTAAGAGGTGTCATGTTTGAAACTTGTAAGATCATGAAGGGTCCTGACTGGGTGGGTGTGGAGGAGATGTTTCCACTTGTGGGATAATCTAGAACTACGGAATGCTGCTTAAAAATAAGGGGCTGCCATTTCAATGAGATCAGGTGATTTTTTTTTCCCCCGAGTCATCAGCCTTCGAAACTCTTCCTGAATAAAAAGGTGGTAAAAGCGCCTCCTTTGAATATTCTTAAGGCAGAGGTGAAATGATCCTTTATAAACAAGGGCTTCAAAGTTTAGCAAGAGTATGGTTTTGTGGTTACAACTGTGATCTTAATGGCAGAGCAAGCTGAAGATGCTGAATGACATTTATTTATACATTTGTATCTTGCAGTCAGCTGGGACTGTTCCAGAGTCTAGGGGATTTGGAGAAATTACCACATCCAGTATCAGTGCAGCTATCTGTTTTACTACTGAAGCAGCTCATGAGATTTTTGTCAGGTTATTTTTCCACTAGTTTCTCACTTAATCAGAGGAGAGCTGGATGATTGCTTAAAAGAGAAATGTCAGGGCAATAACGATAAAATTGGGGTGGTGGTGGGTTTGGGGGGTGGTTCCTTATTGGAGAGCTCTTAAAAAGAGCAGATATAGTCGTGACAGGCCAAATGGGAGCCACCTGTGCTGTGTGCTTCTCTTCATTTTGTACGGACTTGCACACCTTTTCTTGCTTCCGTGACAGCTCCATTGTGAACTTGCCGGGTGAGTCCACGCTGAGGCGAGACTTCCTGCGGCTGCAGCAGGAGAACAAGGAGCGTTCAGAAGCTGTGAGGCGGCAGCAGCAGCAGATCGTGCTGCCTCGGCGGGACCTAGAGGAGCACAAACGGCAGCTTATCTCTGAGCGGCAGAAACGCCTAGAGGAGCAGAAGGAGCAGCGCCGTCGGCTGGAGGAGGTAAAGTTCTTCAGTTCAGTTTCAGCACACCTTGGTGAATACAGATGGTGATTTATAATTGGTATTTGACGTGCATTCTGCAGTACCCAGATATTGTGGCTTTTTTATGTGAGTGCTGTTTATGATTGGGTATGTTCTGTTCCTGAGCAGTGTTAAATACTGATTCGCTTCAATGTATTTTCTATTGCGATTCCCATGATGTCCCCTCATTTATGTTTGCATACGACTTTAGCTTTCTCGTCCATCCTTCATTTATTTCGCACACAGACTTGGGTTCATTTAGCATGCAGTTCACTTCACACGTATTTTTCTGTTTGAGGGTATTACTGGTTACTGGGGTCTGAGATGTTCTCAGCCCATTGCAGGGACTCTGCTATGAATTGATGGCCCCACTTGGTGACCAGAATGGTCTGAGAAAAGATGGAGATGATACAGTAGGTGTGTTCTGAGGTGACGACTTGAAAAAAACAGCAGCTTGAATTTTAACATAGCCTTTAACGTAGTAAAATATTCCAATTCATTTAACACAGTTGGATCATCAGCTATGATCTTTTGATTGGTGGAGAACGCTGCCCAACAGGCTGAATGGTCTATGTCTGCTCCAGTTTCATGTGTTAATGTCAAGCAGTATCCCTGAAACCTGTTAAGTGAGATTCTGATTTGATCTTTGACCCAACATACAGGCCTTTGTCCCATATCCCTTAACATGTTTGCTATGACAGATCTATCAACCTCAAATTTAAAATTCACAAGTTAACAATCCTGAGCTAGCATTAATGGCTGTTTGTGGATGAGAGCGTTTCTCAAGCTTCTGACTTCTGTGTGCAGATGTGTTTCATACTTTTACTCCAGAAAGATATGGCTCTAATTTAGACTGTACTTCCTAGTGCTAGATTCCCCAGTCAGTACACACAGTTTCTCAGACTCTGTTTGTTTGTTTGTTAATTCCTTGAAAACATTGCTCAAAGAATCCTTAACCATCTCAATTCCAAGGAGTACAATTCTGTCACCTCGGCACCTAGCTGTTGAAGTTCTTTCATCATTTCATAAATCAACAGTGCACTCCCTCCAACTCTGCTGTATCCTTCCAAAACTGCTTACGGCACTCCAGGTGTGATGTAACTAGGGTTTTATTCATCTGAAGCATGAATTTCTCCCTCTCTATTCTAGTCCTCAGAGGGGGGAGAAAAGAGGCCAGCGTTTCATGAACCCTTTTGTTTACTTTTCTATGCTTGCTATTTTCTCTATTTTTTAAGTTTACATACCTGGAGTCATTGAGATTCTGCAGACATCACTGTATGTAGTTTTACACCGTTTGGAAATTTGGGCTAGCAGAGCCTGGAGGAGCTTTGCTCACGCTTCAGATCCTGGGTGCTCAAAATCAAGATGTGAATCTGTTTTCCCTTAACGATTTTATGAAAAACTAATCTAGCATCATTTATAATTCATGAGCCTTGTGTAAGCAGAGCTCGGCTGTATGTCTTGTTGATTATGACTGGGGGCACTGGCTTTCTTTTGAGACTCCCAATCTGAGTCTGTCTTTGTTAAGTTATCATTCAGTCATATTTCATCAAGTGTCTCTTATAACTGGCACAATGCCTTGCTAGGTTTTGATAAAGAGTGGACCTGTCTGAATGGGTGTTAAAAACGAAATCACTTTTTACTGTCGTTTGCCTTTTTGTTACGGGATTTAATTTTGATGTGTCTCAACTGCATGACTGTAGATGTTGGAGAAATGTTGAACAAAA